GCTTTCAAGGTATGTTCCATGATCACCATCTCTATGCGCAACCATACCTTATAACCATAAGTGATCTAGGGATTTTATCTTAAGTGCAATTATAAGATAAATGCTTTCTCTTAAGATAAAGAAATGCCTTATTCATAATATAATTCCAATAGACTGTATTTACAAGTAGAATACGTCCAATTAGATTGGAACGCTGGGTACCCTACTCTAACAGTTGGCAGGCCGGTTCTGGTAGCCTTGAAGAGCATTGACATCTTCATATTGTTCACCAAAATCCTGATCGAATGCCGAGGGGCCCACCTCGGATCTGTGCCCTTGGACTCCACATGCTCCACTCGCCTCTAAAGTCATAGTCTGCATTGGCTGGCCTCCCCTTGCATTCAGTAGCCGCATCTGCTCCGTGAGCTCGGCTATCTGATGGGCCATCATGTCTCGCCCAGAAGATACTTCGTAGACCCCGACCCTCTTTCCTCGACTGCTCTTTTGAGACGAGTTAGAACTCATCGCCTCAAAAATATCATTCATCTCCTCGGCCGTCTTTGCCAAAATATCTCCACCGGCTGCATTGTCCACCATGTACTGGAGATTCTGGTGGAGAGAGTCGTAGAAGCTGTTCATTAACAGGGCAGGTGGGAAGTTATGGTGTGGGCACTGCCTCTGGAGGTCTTTGAAGCGCTCCCACGCCTCATGAAGTGGCTCGTTTGGTTGTTGGGCAAAGGAAACGATTTGAGACCGGAACTCCTGCGTCTTCTGGTGGGAGTAGTATTTCCCAATGAACTTGGTGTACACTTGCTCCCAAGTGGTGAGGGAGTCGGGAACAAGTGTCATGAACCAAGCCTTGGCCCGGTCCTTGAGTGTTTCGGGAAAACACCTCATTTTCAGCTGGTCCTCGTTCAGGTTATGGAGAGGGAAGGTCTGGAGGACATTATAGAACTCGCGGATGAAATGGAGAGGGTCCTCACTGAGTAAGCCATGGAAAGATGGCAGCTGGTTGTAGTGGATTGTTTTTAGCTCGTAGTTTCGAGTTGCTGGCTCTAGCCGGATGCATGAAGTCACTGGCCCAATTATTGGTTGAGCCAAATCACGAAGGAGATGACGAGGCAGGTTATTCACTTCCTCCTCACCGTTGTTTGCCATGTCTCCTTGACTATCTGAGTCTCGGTTGGCTGAGTCTAAAGATACAGGGGCAAGGATAGCCAACAATTCTTGGAGGTCCCTCTGGATGGATTCGTTGTTCGGGATGATTACGCGACCACTCCAGGTACGCATAAACAAAAACAACAAAAACGTCGGCACCAGATAGATAAGAAAAAGACAAAGAAAAACAAAACAAGAAAACACCAGAACTAGTCAAAGAAAACGAAACAAAGAGAAACACACAAAACAAGAAATCACAAAAATAAAAGAAACACTGCAAACAAAATGAATAGGCGCAGAAAATAAGTTCTAAACCTTCCCTGGCAACGGCGCCATTTTGTTGTAGTTATTTTTACCGGAGTAGAATCGAAAGATTCGAACACCGGGTCGTGTCTTAAGGAAGGTTGGCCGGATTAATTTGCACGATTATTCAATCACACGAAAAGATAAAAACAAGTCCTAAACACTCTAATTCAATTGGTTGGGTATGATTATCAATTACGAGATTAACTACGAAAGATTCTCAACAAGGCAATTCCGAACTCACAGCACAAACACAATTCAAATAATGATAAAAGGTACTATGGTGTTGGGGACAATCGTTTCCGGTTCTCAATACATTAAACGCAATTGATTACTCGGCTAAAGAACTCGAAAAATTAATTCATCAAGAGATTCATTCTCAATAACTCACGTAACAAGGAAATAAATGTAAACGATCAATTATCGAATCAATTAGCACATAGACAATACGTATCCGAACAAGTCTATTCTAAACAAGCCTAGATCGATCGATTCCTCCCCTTTCGGTTCTAAGAATCAATTCAATGGATTAAAATGGTGATCAATCAATTCAACCCTAGGTTAAACACAACTCGAATAGATTGAGCAATCAACAAGCACAAAAATGAAATTGAACCGGAACAATTATCCTCTAGCCCTAGTTAACTAATTTAGCTACTCATCATCAACTCAACATCAACATACACATAAGCTTACGATTAAAATGAATCCATTGTCAAAGCAACAACGAGTAGTCCAAATCCTAAAGTCGAATCTTGGAGCTTTCGCTACCCAAGATCGAAACCAAAATGAAAAGCAAGAGAAAAGGTGTTTTTGGAGGTGAAAAACGAAAGTACAATCTTCAGAATACCCCAACATAAGCCCTAGGTTCGAAAAAATAACCCTCCATTTCGAAATCCCGAAAAAAATGAAGTTGTTACAAAACGGGCCCTTAGCGCCGCTAAGGTGCCTTAGCCGTTCGAGTCTGAACCTGCTAACGGCGCTAAGGCCCTGGGTGACCAAAAAGCTGCTTTCTTACAGTTCGTGTGCTCGGCTAGCCTCACTCGGGTACTACCCGAGCTAGAAACTCGGCTTCCGCATGTTTATTCGCCTGAACGGGCATGGAATACCTAATAACTGGGACAATCTCAAACCACCAAAACCAGACAAACACGAAAAACGAGAGAAAAATAGGAGAAAAGACAAAGAAAACTCGAACACGACTGAAAAACACGAAAACACGAGAAACGACTAGACGGACCGGCAATACCTAAGAAACGACCTAAAATGGGGAAAATACACGCAAAACATAAATAAAAATAACAACAAAAATGGAACAAACAATAGTATTCAGTAACATATTCATAGAATTAATTACACAAGAAAAGAAAAAGAAAAGAAATTAAGAAATTCTTCTCTAATTCTCCAAAGCTTTCTGCTACTGCTATGACTCGTGATCGTTTTCTCCTCTCTTCCTATGTCCAAGTCCCAGCCGCAATGTGTGTGGAAAAATAAAGTCACCCCCAAAAGCATAAGTCTCCAAGATATATATTTTCCTTCCTAACCACGTCACTTTCCTTATGCTTGTCCTCCAAATAATTCCTTTGACTAAGTCCACCAGACCCTCTTTAGTTTTAATAATTGCAGCCCACTTGTAATAATTTTTATGCCAATTCACGTGAAGTGTATGGGCTTAACCAAGTGAATGGGTCTGCTTCATGCAATACGGGGTCTGCTGGATCAATACTGGGCGCCCCTGTACTCTGCTATTCAGCCAATTTTCACCCTTGTTCACGCCTCCACTTATCATCGTGCACTCAAAATAGTTCTTTAAATTCTGGAAATCACTAAAAACCTCATAAAGGCACGGGAATCGTTCACAATATCAAATAAGTCAAGAAAATGTATAAATGCGAGGAATTAAACGTTTACAATCACAATGTTAGGCGATTAATGCAAGCACGTTTCTCGACTAATCAAACCACCCCACACTTGAACGATGCTTGCCAAGCATCAAGCCAAATTCGTCATACCAAATTGCAATCACACCCTTTCCTCCTCCCTTTGCTAATTCAAAATCATTTTGCACACAAGAGAAATAAGTCATGATAGAATCCTCATATACTGACATCAATGACAGATATGCTCGACAATCAATCAATATGAAATGCAAACGAGGATCAACACATCTCACAAGGTACGCTCAAACTCTCCAAAGTTATAGGCTAAGGATATATATTTGAGTGAACGCTCAAGTCAAAACATAGAAAATCTTTACCATATGCTTGCCAATGTATCACGCCCGACAACTCAAGAATAAATATAAATCCACAAACATCATAGGGTTTATCACAAGGTTGTAATGTCGGGTATGGGTAATAATGGCTAGAGATTCCAACAAAGAGGGATAACAACATTAATCAAACGAACCAAAGCAATCGTGCAAATCCCGTCCGAAAAGAGCTCAAAACCACAACCTAGCACATGTCTAACTGTAATGACACTCATAAAATTCATCCGGACAATGCCAAGTGCCATATAAGACCACTTCAACTCCACCAAACTCACAATAATTTCACCCCAGCTCACAACATGGGTCAGCCTCTCCATTTTTCTTCTTTTTTTTTTTGTTCTTTTTCTTTTTATTTATTTTGAACCTGTTTACAGAACATGAATTCACACAATGCTCAATATCAGACATGAATTCACACAATTGCTCGATTCAAAGTTCCAAATAAAAGATCAGATGGCATGTAATATGGTTGTCATTCAAAGAATAGGCTCCGGCTCAAAAAGAGGCTTACTAATGAATATAATATAGGTTCGGCTCATCAACGAAAAAGGTCGCAACACAAAGGTTCATCCTAAACACCCTTATCAATTCATGAATCAACATTCATCAAGAATTAAACGAAGACGTGTATAACATGGCAAGTTCTAGAAAGATCAACCAGTCATGACATCACACAATGAATAAAAGGAGCAGAAATATTCGTTATATGCTCATCGGCTCAAATCACAACAAGTAAGGGTAATTAGTGCTAATCCTCGTGCATTCGGCCATAAATGCCATATGGTCATCAAGAAACAGTCAGTCAATCAATATGCAATATGCAGCAAACAAGGACTCCAAAATTTTTCGCACACATAAAAAATATCAAGAACCGGCATCGAAAAGAGAATCAAGCATAATGGTTGATAATCCAAACAAGACTCAATACCGTCAGACAATCATCAAATCAGACTCTAACTCTAACTCCAGACAAAACAGGGCAAATCAAAATCAAAATCACCATAAACAGCAGTATATAGAGCAACCAACAATAGCCCCTTCAGGCAACCAACAACCAGCCCCACTACACACTAAAAATTGGAGTTGTCCTAAATGTCACAACACTAAGAATGCTTATAAAATAAAAACAGAAGGAGTTATCAGACTTCCCTCTTCATAGGTAGCATCCTAGCGCGTGCCGGTGTGTAGGGTCAGTCAGTGGGAAGGAGCTGTTGCTCTCGCTCCAACTCCTTGACCCTATGATGTGCCTGCACAAGCCCACTTAGGCACAAGTCCTCCGGTGAGGCTCGGGTTCGGGTGACTGGCAGCGTGGGATCGTCAGCCGGTGACTCGGTTGAAGTGGACGGGGGTTGGTTTGGTGTGACCGGGCTCGTTTCTGTGTTGCTGTTGAGGGAGTGGCCGGCGGGGACTTTGGTGGTGACGATTGTGCGGCGGCTGACGGCGATGGGTTCACCGGGTTCGGCTCGGTTTCAGGCCGAGATAAGGACAGCGGTGTTGCGAGCGGCGTTTTAGCGGCGTCCGATGGTGACACTGGCGGCGATTTGGGTGGCAAAGCAGGCGGTGACTCGTCGGTCTTCGGGGGTGACCTCGATTTGAAAGCTTGTTGCTTGATTCTCACCATGGTTTTCAGATTTTCACTCAATTTCTCAATTTTTGTTCTCAGATCTTCTGCTCAAATTTCTGCTCGATGTGCTCAAACTATTCAGATTCTTCTGGAAGAAGATAAAGTGACGCACGCCCAGGTCAATGGATATTGGGTTGTGTCCTTAACTTGTCTGGCCCAATAAAATTCACTCTCTCATCAAATTTATTTTTAGCCCAAAGTAACATAACATCCCGATGTAGTGGCCCGTAGCTTATTTCATCCCCAATAATCATAGCACAATACTCAGCCCAGGAAAAAAATAATGAATCTATCATTATATAAAAAGAATAACTTTTTTACAAATTTAGAAACTTTTTCCCGCCAAAATCATTAAATATATCCTATATATAGTAATTGTTGGACAAATCTGAATAGGCAAAAAAATCGGCTCATTAATTGTGTAAAGATTTGTTTCTCCTTTTCCTGTTTTTTAGTTTATCAAAACTTTTGTTTGACAATAAATATTTATTTTTTTTTCCTATTTTTAGTATAAATCTACACGAGCTTGTCTCTTCTGTTACAAAATCTCATTGCTTGACAATAAATATTTGTTTTTTTTCTATTTTTAGTATAAATCTACACGAATTTATCTCTTCTGTTACAAAATCTCATTGCATACGTCTCACGTGTTTAAAAAATCTCATCCATTATTTATACGGATTTGAAAAAATAAAATAAAATAGAACCAATTCATAATTACTACTAGAAATCCATTATCTTTAAAAAGAAAAAATAAAATAAAATAGATACCAATTCATAATTACTACTAGAAATCTATTATCTACTTTAAGAAGCTAATTTTCATCGGTCTAATTATTAATATTTTTACAAATATTATAAGCTAACCATACAAAAAATATAATAATAATTTTGAAATGGTGTGTAATCAAACTTTCTTATATTCTCTTATACAAAATAATTTTACATTGTTTGAACCTGAATCTTTAATTTATAATTATTAAGTATTGTTTATCCTTCTCTTTAATCTATAATTATTTTTTTTTCTTTCTCTTTTTAAATATGATTAATAGTAGTTTCCACTTCCGCCATTGAGTGACTCATACTCGAGGTCTATTTATAATATTGTTCATTTAATATTATTCCCGTGCATCGCACGGGGTACACACTAGTCTGTAGCAAACACAATAAACAATAAGACATTCATCAGCAGACTGTAAAATGCAAAAAAGCAAACAAAATTATCTCTTCCTCATGAATTAATTATTTTATTCAAGAACCACTAAATAAAAACTAACAGAAGTAAAAATAATAATAATAATAATAATAATAATAATAATAATAATAATAATAATAATAATAATATTAATATTGGGTTGCCTCTCAACTAGCGCCTTTTTTTTTAACGTCGTTGGCTCGACCGAATACTTCCCTTTTCAAATTGACTGAGGAGCGTCCAGCCGGACTCTCTCCACATCGTTGATTCTAAATTCTCCATAATACGGCTTAAGCTTATCGCCGTTCACCTTGAACGTTTTGCGCGACTTCTTTGGAACCACTTGCGTCGGGCTTACCCAACGACTATCTGGGCTCGGATAAATGACTCCCACGTCCAACAACTTGATGATTTCATTTTTCACCACTTCCATCATAGGAGGATTCAGCCGTCGTTGCGCCTCCTGAGAGGGTTTAGCATCTTCCTCGAGGAGGAAACGATGCATGTATGTGGACAGGCTTATTCCTCTCAAATCGACAATGGTCCAACCGATTGCTCGTTTGTAATTCTTCAACACTTCAATGAGGGCTGCCACCTGGTCAGGCTCCAAACTCGATGACACTATAACCGGGAGCGGTCGATCCTCTCCCAAATAGGCATATTTCAAGTGGCTCGGCAAGGATTTCAGCTCATGTTCCGGTGCCTGCAGAGTAGAAGGAACAATTTTCTTATCAGGTTTAGGTGGCCGAATAAAATTTTTATCATGCTTTTCAAGATATGGTTTTAGTGTATTCAAGGTTGTTACGGCCTCCTCGATCATCCCCAAGTGATTTAAAAATTCGGGTGGATCACTATCTCTCTGTAACCTGAGTACCGGGGCACCCCGTACTCTTGGGAAGGTACCCCGTACTACTTGATTTTTGCCGATACTTTGTGAAATCATAAACTCCAGCTCACCATCCTTATAAGTGTCGCGAAAACCCTGTGTCAACGGTTTAATACAACAAGTACATAAACACAATGGTCAGCATCAGGAAATTTCATGTCATCAAAAATATTAAATCGAATAACATTGCCATCGAACTCCATTGTAAGAGTGCCTTCACGAACGTCGATTTTTGTTTGAGCGGTGTTCAAGAACAGCCGCCCTAACAAAATCAGGGTCGACATAGGAGTCCTGTCATCCATACTCAACACATAAAAGTCAGCTGGAAAAATGAGCTCATTAACCTTAACAAGAACATCCTCTTACCCCATCCGGACAAGTGGTACTCCGGCCGGTAAGTTGAATTACCACACGAGTTTCTTTAAGAGGACCCAAATTTAAGGAATAAAAAATAGAGCGAGGCATAACATTAATTGATGCTCCCAAATCGAGCATGGCTCGGTCGATTTTTAAATTACCTATGGTGCATAGAATCAAAAACATACCTGGGTCACTTCTCTTTTGGGGTAAATCTTTCTGAATTACTGCCGAGACGTTCTCTCCCATCAAAACCTTCTCATTCCCTTGCAACCTTCGCTTGTTACTGCATAGGTCGTTCAAAAATTTGGCGTAACAAGAGACTTGCTTAATTGCATGAATGAGAGGAATGTTGATCTCAACTTTCTTGAACATATCAAAAACTTACTTCTCAGCGTCTTACTTTGCTGCCTTTCGTACTCTGGATGGAAAAGGTAGAGGTTCGGGTTTCAGTGGAGGGCAAATCGGGCTGCCCTTGCGTCTTTCAATCTCTGCAGGCTGAGTACTGGGTGTCCCCGTATTCTGCTGCTCGGCCCATATTCTGCTGACAGACTCTCTTTTCACTTTCATTCTTCTCGTTTTGAGTCTTCGGGTCTTCTAATTCTTTCCCACTCCGCAAGGTGATGGCACTGACATGTTTAGAGTTGATCTCAGGTTGAGATGGAAGTCAGCCCCCGAGTTGTGCATCTAGTCGAGTCATATGCTCCACCAATTGACTCATTTGTCCTTCTAAGTTTTTTGTCCTTGATTTCTGATTCTTGATGCTCTCTTGAACACCCTACTGGAAGTTCATGGAGCTAGTTGCAAGCATCTTGATCATCTTTTCTAGGGAAGACTGTGGCATGGAGTTCGGTGGACCGTTACCCGCTTGTCGTGGAAAGTTTTGGCTTCTTTGGAAAATTTGGGGTGGCCTATTATCTTTCTCCGCATACACTCCCCCTAAAGGATTCCCATATCGAAGATTGAGGTGATCTCTCCAGCCGGGATTGTAGGTATTGGAGAAAGGGTCATAGTTTTGGCCCGGCCCATTGTTGGACCCAATCGCATTTGCTTGTGCCTCCATCTTACTATTGATTAGCGGGCAATTGTCTGTAACGTGATCAGTTGTCTCACAATGCATGCATGGTTTCATCCTGGGTAACCCATTCGTGGCTAACTTTCGGACAAAAGTCGTAAACTCCTTAACTTGGGACTCCAAAGCGTCAATACTAGCTTCATTCACTGTCTGAAAGGATGCATCTCGAGTGCCAAATTGCTGGGAGTTCACTGCCATATTTGCTATCAGATCCCTTGCGACCGTCGGTGTCTTGTCCATAAGAGTGCCTCCACTTGCCGCATCGAGCATGTTTCTATCCATGAGGGACAACCCCTCGTAGAAATACTGGATTAGCAGCTGATCCGTCATCTGGTGTTGGGGACAACAAGCAATGAGTCTCTTGAATCTCTCCCAATACTTGTATAGCGTCTCCCCATGCAACTGTTTGGCACCACATATCTCCTTACGCAAATTTTCCACCCTTGATGCTGGAAAGTACCGTTGGAGAAAAGCTTTCTCCATGTCAGCCCACGTGGTGATGAAACCCGACGGTAGGTAGTATAGCCAATCTTTGGCTCGGTCCTTCAATGAAAATGAGAACGCCCGAAGTTTAATCTGCTCCTCGGTCACCCCGGCGGGTTTCATTTCAGAATAGACAGTATGGAACTCCTTCAGGTGCATGTGAGGGTCCTCTCCTGAGCGGTCGTTGAATGACAGAAATAAGTGTATCAGGCCAGACATAAGCTCGAAGGTGGCGTCATTCACCGTCGGAAATGTTATGCACAAGGGTTGTTGAAGAAGTTGGGGATTGGCTAGTTGCCTTAACGTACGTTCTCCCTCTCCCACCATTGCAACTGTGGTAATCGGCAATCTCCGGATAGTCCTGGTCTCGGTTTTCGTGTGATTCCTTTGCCAACCTCGCTAGCCTCAGATTTTCCTTATCCTTCCTTGTGATTTCCGGGTTGTATGACAATGGTCTCTGTCCAGAAGACCTCGTGTTCATTCACCTAAAAGAAAACCGAAAGTATAAGTATCGAATGTAGTAAAATACATTGAAAGGAACGAAACTCACACCTATTCTGCACAGCGAGTATAGAGTCCGAAAATTCTGTCGGACAGAGTACTGGAGGACCCCGTACTACTGGGAGCAGAAAATGAAAAGAAATAAAATGAAAGCAAGTAACAGGGGNACTGATACTAAGAAAACAAAATAAGAATAATTATGAAAACTAAACCTGATTTCAATTAATGGAAAATAAATTAACAACTCAATTACGTTACTCCCTGGCAACGACGCCAAAATTTGACCGCGTGTCGCGACACGGTCAAAATATAATAGTAATTTTCTTTAACCGATTTCTACCAACTAGCAGTAGTAGTGAGCAAGGGTCGAACCCACAGGGAGTATGGAATTTAATTGTAATTATTCTCTTTAATTGAAACCATGGAAATACTAATAAAGAGGGGAGTTTTGGTATGAATTAACTAACTACTAGAATTATGAATAGCAAAATGAAATCAAATGCAGCAAATAAAAATGATTATCAGATAAATGGGGAAGTTTCTAGTCCACGGTTCCGTCTACACCCTCGACTAACTCGTTTAATCAATTTTAGTATAAAATTTGCTACCCCATGGAATTACTAGCCCTAGGTAACGGCACGGTCTGTTACTCGAATTTTTCCTTATTTTTAATTTAACCGCGAGATGCTTGACGATTAAACCTGACTTCTTGTACAGTCCGGAAAAACGTTTTCAAGATTTAATACAATTAGCCGCTTTACGAATTAGAAAAATAGGCTAGACTAATTAGTGAACTCAACCGCGTTCGTTCACTTAATTAGGTTGTGTTATCCCCGGTAGTTACCGTCTTCCGGTTACCTCTTATGAATTAAACACAACAACAATTACGAATTGAAGGTCTAATTCAGATGTAGATATGAAAAGCCTGATCTAGGTGATCAATCTAAACAAGACTAAACACATCATGGTTAATCATTCAAACTAACGCAAGCAATTCTAAAAAGATATTAAAATTATCAACCATATAATCAATCAAAACATAGTCAATCGTAGGGTTCGACTTCCCCGGAACTAGAATAAGAGAACTACTCACTCATAGTGTCAATAACATGTTCATAGAATTAATTACACAAGAAAAGAAAAAGAAAAGAAATTAAGAAATTCTTCTCTAATTCTCCAAAGCTTTCTGCTGCTGCTATGACTCGCGATCGTTTTCTCCTCTCTTCCTCTGTCCAAGTCCCAGCCGCAATGTGTGTGGAAAAATAAAGTCACCCCCAAAAGCAAAAGTCCCCAAGATATATATTTTCCTTCCTAACCACGTCACTTTCCTTATGCTTGTCCTCCAAATAATTCCTTTGACTAAGTCCACCTCCAAATAATTCCTTTGACTAAGTCCACCAGACCCTCTTTAGTTTTAATAATTGCAACCCACTTCTAATAATTTTTATGCCAATTCACGTGAAGTGTATGGGCTTAACCAAGTGAATGGGCCTGGTTCATGCAATACGGGGCCTGCTTCATGCAATACGAGGTCTGCTGGGTCAATACTGGGCGCCCCCGTTCTCTGCTATTCAGCCCAATTTTCACTCTTGTTCACGCCTCCACTTATCAGCGTGCACTCAAATATAGTTCCTTAAATCCTGAAAATCACTAAAAATCTCATAAAGGCACGAGAATCGTTCACAATATCAAATAAGTCGAGAAAATGTATAAATGCGAGGAATTAAACATGTACAATCACCATATTATACGATTAATGCAAGCACGTTTCTCGATTAATCACCACCACTCCAAAAAAACTGATTTTAGCGTTGGAGGTTCTAAACAAGCACACCCCCGATGTTGTTTTGCAGGTAATCAAAGCGATTCAAGGATGAATCAAGTGACTATTGGACTATGGATGTTGTTATACACACTAGAAAATACATTAAATGTGCTCGGATCTTTTTTTACTACTATTTTTATTAAGTCTTTGTAATCTATACTTATATTAAAAGGTATACCATTTACCAGATTTAGTATAAAGAAAAGTCAACAACATTTATTGCATTACTCTTTCCGTATTATACAATCTATACTTATATAAAAGAAGATTCTATTCCCTATATTTACTATCCAGAAAAATCAACTGCATTAAATGTCATTACTATTTTGTATTATAATATTTTATTTAATTAATTGATTTATTTATTTGTTTTATTTTAAAAAAGGGTAAGTATAACAAAAAGATTTTAATAATAAAAAAAATCAAATGCCAAATAAAAATATACACTTTGACTTATTTGATTATATTTGGTATTTGATTATACCAAATATATTCCTATTTAGTATGTAAACATTAAATACTTACTAAAGTATTTATTTGTTTTATTTGTCAAAGTTAAGTATAGATTTGTTTATATTATCAAATCATAAAAAAAATATTAAATCTATATTGTAAAAAAAAAAAAATCATATAATTTTATAATAATTCTACTACACTATTTAACAATATTTCTTTTTTATTATATAATAAAATAATACTTAAATATTATATGGTGAACAACAATAAGTAAAACTATTATTTTCTCTTATATAAAGGGATAAATTATATGCTAAAATTAAATTTTTATTAGTATAAATGTTTAGTGAGATAATATATTAATTATTTTACAAGCTAGCTCTAACATGCTCATATTAATGTTTTAAAAGATGTAGAAAAAAAAACTTATAATAACTCTATTGTTTTTTAGACTTAAACGTTGATTAAAAGAGGTAAAAATTCCTAATTTTTTATACTTAAAGTTGATTAACACCATAGATTGAGAGTTTATATTTAGTAAAATTCCTAATTGTAATAAAAAAAAATAATTTTTGCTATATTTTAGAATATCTTTAAATTCATTATAAAAAAAAAAGAAAAAAAACTACAATGAAAAAGCAAGTCAGCTATATATCGATTTGTTGAACTCCTCAAATCACATTCACAATTTGGCTACAAGGAAAGGAAACTCATTGATCTAAAATATTATTTTGTCAGTAGTCTTAATGTACAAGAGATTTTAAGACTCCACTTGAATATTATAAAACTTTTATTGAACATTGTACAATTTTCTTGCGTATTATAAATTGCATATTGCATCTTATAATATAATATTCTCTAAATAAATATATCTCGTGCTTTGCACGGGTCACGTACTATATATCCCGTATATTTTTCTTTATTCATGTATATAATTATGCCTGGATAAATAGCCTTAAAATTGTGCATCTTATGGATTGCACGGGCTTTGTACTAGTATAGATATATAGGTTATAATTTACTCATGTACACTTTAACCCAAAGACGCGCATTGCTAGTATTTTTTTAATGTACTTTCTTGAAATTCTTCGACACAATTTCAGTGAGCAGCATCATTTCATTTTGGTTCAATTTTTGATCTCCTCATTCTCTCTGTGCTCCCCCTGGCTCTCCATGGCCATGGCGTCAATAAATTTCGTGGTACCACTCCCTTTCCTTAATTAATGTGCCGCAGGAAAATGGAGGCGCTATCCAGAGCTAGGACAGCCATCAATTCCGCTGCTGCTAAAGCGGAGAAAGTCTTCACAGACATCAAAAAGTCTGATTCTGCCACTCATCGTCGTATGCTCCCCCCTTTCTCTTTCTTTCTTTCTCTCCTTTTTTAGACACTTGTCTCTGCGCGCTACGTCCGATCGGATTTCGATTCAGTTCTATTTACTATTTTTGGGATCCATCTTATATTTTAGGCGTTTATTTTTTTTATTCTTATTATTATTATTTTTTTTTTTCTGTTCGAGTTGGAAGATTTGGATAAACGATCGCCAGGGTCATCAACGCCAGAGACCCCGAAGGACACGGATGAATCGAAGGTAATCGCGTCCTCTGTATTGGATTCATTTTGTTTTCTTTTTCTTTCAAATTGGAATTGGAATGTTCCAATCGCCGAAAATGTTACATGCTTTGGTGACATTTAGAGCTTGTTTCTTCAAGCCTCTAATTGGATGACTGGTAAACGAGGAAATGAAAGTGGATTTGAGTTTAATTTCGATGTTGCTTTGAATTTGTTCGCCTGGATCATGATTTGCTTTGCACCATTTTAAGGGAATTTTGAGTTCCTTTTACCAACTCTCTATGCGTGTAGGCAGGTCTGTGTATAGAAATACTGACTGTACCAATTTTTATTTGAACCATTTTTTGCTCTAGGCTATGTGTACTTGAGGGTGCTTTTTCCTGATTTGGCATAGCTTTTAGTTGTTGTCGCAGAATTAGTTTATAAGTTATCTATATGACATTGATTTATGATTGGACTGCAGGATTCCCATGAAGCAAAAATTAAGGGAGTGAGACCAAGGCCAATAAAGACCAAGGCAGATTGGCATGAAAGATTTAGGAACATAAGAATAGGGAAAAGAGGAGCGGAGGATTCCGAGAAGCCTGACCATTCAACAATGGCTTATGCAATTTTTGATGAGAATTTATACATGATGGGTGAGAGAGAATTCTCAAATTCTAAGGTAAGCCTAATTTTGCAAATCCAGATGGTAATTTTGTTCAAGGTTGCTCCTACACTAAAGATTGCTTTTTTTCTCATTTGTACCAAAATAGAGTGAGATTTTCCATATTGCTTCTTTATAAAAATGTGAACTGGAGTTGTATTTAATGAGACTATTATATGCGCTAGGCGTATTGAAGATACTTATGTGAGCTATGAGATGTTAAGAGTCACATGTAAAATATGAATGGCCATACAAATTGTTTCAGGCATAATTTGTCACAAATTTGTTGACACAAGATGTTATGACATAAACACATATATCATTGTTTACTTCAATGAGTAATATTTTTTTTAATTAATTATCATAATTATGAAATTTAAGATGTGTTTTTATTTTTATTATCTTGTACATTTTTCTTGTTTTGGGTTTTTGAAACAATATTCTTGGAAAAAAAAAAAAGGCATGCCGTTGGACTGAAAGTAATGAGGAAAAAAGTTTTAAAAGAAAAATTGATGTCAATGACTACATCAGAAAACACACTGGTTCTCTTGCTTATTATTTTTCATTGTCAATGTGAAAACCTTTATTATCTTATCACTGCCAAGTTTGGACACTTTTATTGGTTGGTTGGCCATCTATGCGTCAGCTGAATTGTGGAGCTCCTCTTTCCTTCCGTTAGTGAAAAAAGTTGGCATCTTTCAGGATGCAGAAGAGGGAGCTGCAGGGGAAGGCTCCAAAACTGTCAACAAGGATATTATTCCATCATCAGCAATTGTTAAACAGTTGGCTATAGCAGTCGAGTAAGAGTTCTAATTAATGGCCTGAATCCCTTTATGTTGACTTACATTGAGTTGGATTATACATTTACAACTAAAACTTGCAATCAGCTGATGATATAGGCTGAATTTTATTTTAACTTTAGATGAATTCTCAGTGTTCTTTTTGGTTATACACTATTCAAAATGAAATATTGCTGCAATTAGCAAGATATACTTTCTTGTTTCATCAACCTGATTCATGGATGTATTTCAATGTTTGTGTGGAATCCATAGCTGTGTCTGGTTTTTTACGCTTAGTCTATTTGGTCCTTCACAGAGCTGGAGTCAACTACAGCTCCATGAAAGAGCTCCTTGTGTCTTCAAGAGGGTCTTCACCCATCAGAGAGAGGGCTAGCTTAAGCTTTTCAGCAATGAAATCACTAGTGCTTCGTGAGAAAGATGATAAGTTGACCAATGAGTTTGGAGGTGATGAAAAGGTCATGTGTGTAATCAATGCATTACTAAATACAGGTAGATAATTTTGTAACCCTGTATGGGCATTATCATCCTTTTCTTTTTCTTTTTTGCTTCATGAGGTTTTTGTCACTGCATGCACGTGTATGGTGCTGACCTGTTCTTGTGAGCTTGATCGATTTTTTTTGTCATGTTCCATTGTTTTATCTTGATTTTCACTTCTAATGTAATATCGGCAAGGTACTCGCAGAAGGGCATTTTACCGGAAGGGCTGTGTTTGGTCCAGAATTGCAGGCGAATGCGACATTTTTACTTAAAGATATCCACGGTGCTCCCATTGAAAGTTTTGTGGTTAAACTCTCCGAAGCAGTTGGTTTCTTAAAGACCCTGCGGAAAATGGCGGCATTTTGGGCCAGGGTTGTTGCTGAAGTAAGTGGATTTACGGAGAAAGATGCTTGAATTTATGTTGCTTTGCTTATATTATACTTTTAACTTCACTAGTCCTGACATTCTCATTTTTT